AAAGATTGAATAGATCGCATTTAGTTATGGTAGTACAACGATTTATCTCAGCAAAGAGGAGAATATTATTGTTAATGATTACGCGAGATGGCGAGAGAATAGTGAAAGGGCGTGGTTCGTGACTATAATTTACTTGGCGAGGTTTGCACTCGAAAGCTGAGGCAAACAACGCTACTTAGAGTTAATATATATCAGGATCGAACAGTCCACTCGAACATCCAATCGCCTATTCTCCGGTGGAAAAGGTCAGACACATGTATAAGGTGGAGCAACAAGATCTTTCCCAAAGATTCACGAGTTTCGTGTACTCGCCAAATACGAGTTTTCTTTCTCGTGAATGATAAATGTTCGCGTTTAATATATTACTCCGTTGCTTCCGGTTATTCTTCTTCTTTCTTTTCGCCGTGCAATTTGCCACGGAAGCGTTTAATATACACGCCCACGCAGACGCAAGCGCGAGACCATTTAAATCGTTCTCGACGAAATGGCTATTATTCTCCATGCGTCGCTCCGTCGACTTTCGAATAACTGCTTCTCACACAATCATGTAATCAAACAATTCCTTCCATCTCTTTTCTCCACCAGGTTTCCTACTTATTTCAACCTATCAATGTAATGCAGATTTCATGCATTCGTAAAAACATTTTCACGATACATAAAAAAATCGTTACATAAGATTCATTATTAGCACAGTTTACATAGGAAATTGCTCGGTAACTGTGATAATTCACGGAGTCGATATTCCCAAACTATTTGTCCCCTACCCCAGTGGCCACATTTTTCCCGAAACGTTCCGTAGTTATCGCCGACCGAAATCTACGGGGCCTACAGTCGTTAGCATAATGCGACGCGTACGTGACAGTCGCCGGTTCTTTTCTCCCTGGAAGGTTCCAGCCGCCGCATTTCCGTCACGGCCGCCGATCTGGCACGGATGTGACGATACCACCGAACCACACTGATAACGCGCCGATTTTGCGAGGACGTTTCATAATTTCCGTGATATTACGCGACCGTTCCGAACTTTGCTCGGGAAAGTTGACAACAATTAAGAAATCGTTTTAACGACGCCAAGTTTCTAATTAGCAGACTGGATTTGAGGTATTTGTGGAAGAATGTGCAGAAGATATAAAGAATAGAATTTGGAATACGTGTCAAAGGTCGACTGCAGGTCATAATGGTCGTACGATGAAAGGATATTTAAATTGATGCCATAAATGTTTTATCTTCCACAAAAATCCAGTCTTCCATGAAATTTATGTACTACATTGATCAACCCTTTACTGTCGCTGGACAGTTTTCACGGGCGATGCCAATAGACGAGCATTGTTACCAAAACTTTTTATCATCCGGGTTACAGCGCTGGCTTCTCTGCTAGCTCTATTTCCGAGCTATGATTCACGGTACGCGTTCGTCACGCACGACACGCTGCACTTTTATTTCCGTTTCGCGACACGACGTAAGATGACCTGGCTTGGAGCCGGGCTTCCGATGATTCGCGCGAAAGTGATTCAATATTCCTGAAACCTCGTCATTTCACCCGAGATGGTTCTCGAAGGAGCCGAGCAATAGATCATTCCCGTTGCTCTTCAGAAATTTCCTCGTCCATTACTTTTAATGCTTCTATCTCTGACTCTTAATCGATGCATCGATATAGAATAAGAACACTTAAGAAAATGAGAAGAAGAACTCAATTGCAGAAATTTGCTACGTCTTCATTTAAAACAGAATTTATTCATCCAGAATCAAATCCCATTCTTTGTGAGCATATATTTTTGAATGCACGTCGCCAGACAGACGCCAGAAACAAAATATGTAATCTTCTTCTGCGCTAGATTCCTGGGAAAGATCAGGGAAGATTGCTTGGATCCTCGTAATCCCGGCAACATTGCGTTTCTTTAACAATTAACATCGAAGGGGCTAATCCGAGATATCGAATGAAAGTCTGGTTGGCAGTAGCCTTATTATACTTTCATGATCCTGCTGGGAACCTCGTAAGGTACGCAGGCCTCCTCGCGATATGCATAAGTGCATATCCATCTGTAATTGCCCGGCGTGAATTAACCCGACTGTTTACTTATCGCGATCGCACACGCACCACGGCACGCTGATTCACGACTGGAAATTCGACGGGTTCGTTCTCCCGTTTTTTTCCCCTGCGCCTCTTGGACGAACAAAAGCGTCCACTGTTCATTCTCCCAGACCCTTTGACATTCGACTTGCCTCAATAGAACGAGCCCCATGGAAAATGAAAGTCGAGAAACGAACTAGCCTACCCTCTCGCTTTCTGCGAGGGATAATACCCTTCCGCGAGACGACTTCCGCGATTAGCATGTTTATCCCAGCGTCTTGCCTTAAAAGCTAACACGTGTCACATACCAGTCTATGAAAGAATTCTATTATGAAAAAATATCTTATTCACAGTTTATTGATTTTTACACAAGGCAAATGTTTCTCTTCTTAAGGACGTATTATATAACATGGTCTACTTTTAGGATCAAGCGTTTGGTGACTGCGAGGGTTAAAAGTCTGGAGCAATGTCACACACAGAGCCCATTCGATATCGATAAGAAAAATCAGCCTCCCCCGCGATAAGCGACGCGACGGAGCCTCGAAACGTGTTCGAGAGCGCTCCAGGTGATCGTCCGAGACTCGAAAGCGGTTAGATCGCTTCGAGCGTTCAATAATTCATATTCAATCTATTGATAGTAGCTGCCCCCGCGGAGAATCCGATAATTCATCCGACGTACTTTCATCTGTCGCGTCCCACAGAAAATTTGCGACCGGAACCCGTGGGGAGAAGGGAAGGAGCCGGTCGTTCCGACGAGTCACGAGAACGCGCTAGAAACCTGGCGAAGGACGAGAAACGAAGAAAGGATCGCGAATGCATCGGGCCAGGACTCGACCCGACCGGCTACACCCTCCCAGAGCTACACGTTTTCAGCACGCGCAGTATCGAAAACCAGCCACGTTCTGCGCCTCGATGCGAGCAAAACGATAAAACTGTATCTCAAGAATATAATAAAAATGAATAACTGTTAATTGTAATCATCTCAGAGCTCTAAAGAATATCACAATAAAAATACATATTTATATATTGAAAACTGCATGAAAATATAATTAGAAAACCTTCTGCTAATTTTTAAAACCTAACGCTTTGATCGAAGATAGGCTTGTTCCTTTGCGAAGTTTATACAGTGGCCTGCTATGGGTACAGCAATTCTAGATAACGAAACAATGTTCCAACGCTCGCGGAACGCATTTGCAATGCTAACGGCTTGTAATCGGCACCTGGCAAGACCAGCGAACGTCCAGCATAAATCATCGATATCAATCCTTTCCTTAGGATAAAAATAAACAACAGAAGGGCGATAAAACGGCGGAACAAGATTCTCGTATAAGGTAAGTCTTCCAAATTGGAGTTTGTCTACGCAATAATTAGCCTTGACGAAAAGGACATGTTAGGCAATGCGATTTAGGTATTACGCGTGCAGTTCGTTAAAATAAAAAATTGTACTTTCCTTCGAAACGAAATCGTACTCGCAAGAGCTGGCTTAAACTGTCAACAGAAACCACTTAACTACAATACAACTGGGACAATAGTCTAGCTACCGTTTGAGAAGCAGGAAAAGTGTTCCGATGTGAAATCGATGCGGGTCCACGAGCCACCATCGGAGTCCTGTGCTCACGCGAAAGGGTATCTATCGCGAGATTAAAGGCAAAGTTTCGCAATGGCAAAGCGTATACGGTGGATGTATATTTGCACGAGTGTGCAGGCGGTAACGATGAAATATTCATCGGTCGGCTACGTGTGACTAATGTTGTATGAAAGCATGGCCGTTCGAGGTCGGCGATTCGTGCGTCTCGATTTCCAGGCTCGCGTTCGAGCCTGATAACGCCTATTACCTGGCTGTCTCGAGTTAAACGTAACTCGTATCAGAGCGCCGATATTTTCGCGGCCGCGGCTAAACGAATCGATAAATATAATGGAAATGGAAAGAAATTCGAATTTCCTACAAGGACCTTGCTCCAATTCTTTTCCTAGGTATTTAAACTTGTTCCAAAGCAAACACTCTCGTTTTTACAGTAGCTACGCCGGTACACAGTGGCGCGTGGGGGCAATCATGGTTCCAAACCATCTGAATGTAAATAAACGGTAGCTCGTTTATAAACGGGAGATATCTTAATCTCGTTGCCCCGTGGGTGTAGAACACGAGCAGTGAAGAAGCGAGCAACCTAACGCTCGTTCGGTAGCCCGATACCGGGTCCGATATTTCGCTGAGAGATCCGTGATCGTACTCGTAAAACTTCTGGCCGCATTTCGATGCCCCTGAACGACACCGGGACCAGCCTCGAACCGAGTTCCAGCGGCGTTCAAGGTTGCGAGAGTTTCGCGTGAAATTACGCTCCAAACTCGTTCTCCGCTTACGCGTTTTCCGTCCCACAAATGAAAGAATTCTTTAAATCTTTCAGCTCGTAAAAGTATACGCCTGTACCAGGACTCCTTTCAAAGCCAATATTACGGTATCTTCCTACACGATTCTATTTTTCTCCACTTCGGTTCTATCTTCGATACGTTATTGATCTCTCGTTCGTCGTTAGGGAATCCGTTCCGAATATTTCAATTTAAATTGAAACTGCCTTTCTTCCGATTGAACGTATTGCGAGCGTCGTTGTCGGTCTGATTCGAAAGGAGTAAACGAAAAGCGACGAATGATTTCGGTGGAAATTACGAGATTGCGATCGTGCGTACGCGTAGGGAGAGAAGGGCGAGCGGGCGCGAGAGGACGGGAGGAGGAAATCAATGCCACCGTCTGCCGCGGGAGAAGAGAAACTCGTCGCGTATCAGCGAGTTTTCGCCGGTGTCTGTTACGCGCGGTCAGAAAAATTGCGACGAGCACGCGGTTAACGAACAACAGGGAATCCAAGAAAGGAAAGGAGACCAGGGACGAAGAGGCAAAATGAAGAAGAGGCAAGGCTCCGCGAGGTTCACCAATACTCACTCGACCGCTGGCGCAGCGTCTCCGTTCGTTCTTCAGACCGGCGATAACTCAGAGAAGCTACCTTTAAGTCCTTTCTTTCCCACTATTCTTGCAGCAGTCCTCGATAGCTCCAGCCGGGATTGAAACGCGGCACAAATGGAAACACGAGGGATGAACACCGACGGATCGAAGGGGTAAAGGCGGAGCAGTATACGCCTCGTACGACACTCTGCGCGACACTGCCTCGATATACGAGACTCCTGTTAGGTGGGCAGGGGTTGACGGTAGGGGCGCATCGAACGTACGTACCGAATTAGGGGTAGGCAACCACCGCTCCGTTCTCGCGGGTGTCTCGAGCCTGACTGACGCACCGCACCAGCCAAGCCCGTCGTCCGACCGAACCCCTACTATGTTCCCTCCTTCTTTCTCCTTTATCGAGCCGACGACTGCCTCGTTCCCTCTTTCCAGGCCGCGTTCTTCCTCTGTTCGATCTCTCTGTTCCCTGCTTTTCTCTACATCTCTCTCCTTTCTTCGCCGTTTCGTCTATCCCCGTCCCGTTTCATTCTCCTTCGATTTTTACTCTCAGACCACTCTACCCCCTTTTCTTGTTCCCTCAATTTTTCTGACCTCTCTCTCTAATTTTATCTCCTCGCCATCTCCCTCCATCGCGATCGTCCTCCCTCCATGTAACCTCCGTGTCTCGAGTAGCTTTATCTCTGTCCGGCTTTCGACGGTTCGTTTCGGAGCTCGTTTCACCAGGACGGCCGACTCCGGCTGCTCCTCCAACGCCCACCTCTATGTACACACAGGGTGGCATCGAGACGGCGCTCTCTGCCCTTCGCCCAGGAACCTTCCTTTCCTTCGCTTCGACGGTGCCTTTCGATTTGTCGCACAGCCACAGATGTACTTACCTGTGGTTCACCATCCTTGTTCCACCCTCATCGACACCGAACTGTGGATAATTCTTGGACCATCCCGATCGATCGGGTACCCGATGCCAATCTTATTTTTCCAGGCCAAACTGTTCTCTAGTTACGTCATCGAAAATGTTCGACCTTGTCCTCCGTTATTTCGCGAAATCGCCCGAAAGAAATGCTGACCGCGATCTCAATTTTTGTCGTATTTATTTGGCAGCACTCTACGAACATCAAACGATAATATTCAATGCCAGGAAACGCAAAAAGATTGCGACTCGTTTTTTGATTAATCGTTGCAGCACAGATATCAGCTCGTTCCGTTGATACGAGGAGAAAGGAAACGCGGAAGAAGGACGATGAAAAATCGTACGTCTCGTGACTTCGCGCAAGAAGCTGGTTGACCGCGGTAAACTTTGAAATTGACCGAGCTTTCTCTATTCTATCCTTGTCCACGCAGTAGGAAGGTCTCTGCTACACAGCATTACGTGTCGGTAATATAATTACTTTACGTGAGAGTGTACACGCGACATGTTTTTATTGGCGAACGATCGTAAGGTAATCCGAAAAGAGCGTGTGCTGTTTTAAAGCGTTATAAATCTCTCTCCGAATGCCGATTGGTTCTCCAGCTAACGACGGGACGTTGCATGGGAAAAGGGGTGAGACGCAGATGTTTTATCGCATGTGCACGTCATTTTATTTCTACCGAGTTTCACAATTGCGTCTACGGGTAATCTACATGCGAAGGAAGTGTGTTTCGGTCACGTTGTTCGATTCACTTTCATCTAGCTTCCGGTGATCGATAGCGTCGGATTCCTAGAATCGTTGACCCACTTCAGGTACGCTGGACCAATATCTAACGAATTACACCCTCGTTCCTAAACGTAAGTTATTCTGGTTATACAAGATAATTTATTGCCATCATTCTTTCAATGCCGTTCGAAATCTCTTGGACCTCTTAACATGGTATCGGAATACATGTATCGAAACGGGTTTGATACAAAAAGCAACGGAACGTTTGCTTTTCCGAGATATTACACCCTTGTCACGTCGTTCCTCCGATTGAACCCGAGCCAACGGTTGCCTAGTGTCGTTCTCTAACTGCTGATAGGTTTCTTCTCTTCCTGGACGTCCTCCACCTCGACGTTGTCCGCGTTCACCACTCTGATCCGGTCCACAGGCTTCGGTCGCATCAGGATGAACGGCAGCTCTGCTGAGAGTTCTCCGCTGAGGGCACCCAGATACAGCTTCACCTTGACCGCATACGAGACTACGATGCCGAAGGAGTCGCGAACGTCCGGTGAGAGGAGGAGAGTGCTCGATGCCAGCTCGCCCTCCTCCCTCTTTAATTTCCCGTCCAACGCGATGCCCCTGCGATGTTTATTGCTCTCTAGTTCCGGTTTCAAATAGAGCACCTTGGTCAGATTCGAGCCTGGATTGATCGGACAGCCGTCCTGCGTCTCGACCGCGTCGATCACCGTTCGGAATTGCCCGTTCTGGAAGATCACTACGTCGATTCCCTGTTGCACCAGCGCCTTCATCTTCTTCACCACCTTGTTACTGTTGTTCCTCACGCACACGTTCACGGCTATCCTCTCTCCGTGGTGGTACAGCTGCTTGTCGAGAGTCACCTCCAGCTCCAATTCCCCTGGACTCAACAGGAAGTCCTTTCGTACCACGGTGCACGGTTGCCGACCCTGTTTCGTAGGCGCGTATTGAATCTTCCTGATGCCCATCGAGACGGTGCTCCTTTTGTGGGTAATATCCGATTCCACCTCGCCCGAGTAGATCTTCACGTAGTAGCTCACGCCGCAAGGTTCTCCGGTCTCGTCTTCGGCCGGCTGCAAGGTCACGCTGGACGGCGCAGTCTGGGGGAACTTGAAGGTGAACGGAACTGCGTTCGGCCCCAATTTCCGGAGCAGCCGTTCCTGCAGCTTGGTCAAATTATCTTCCATCTTCGTGGTCGCTGGGAACACTTGCTCGGAGACCAGGTAAAGATCCTTTTGAAAGTTCAGGCCCATCACCTCGTCCTCTTCTCGGCCGTAACGAAAGCTGCAGACCAGCTGTCCCCATATCTTCCTACCGGTGTCCACGTAATCTTGGTCCAACAGGATCACGCTGTCCACCGGCTCGATACCGGACAGGTAGTCAATGTAATCTCTCTTGCCCAGGTACAAGGAGATCTTGCCGTTCGGTGAGGATTTTTTGAACACCTTGAAGTTCACCACCATGATTGCTCAAGTCCCTTATCACCACTGTCGCCGACTGTCGCTCCTAAAGGGTGTCGTCGCCGATTATATAGGAACGTGATACCAGTGACGTCAAGCTGCTATGAGGCTTCTGAATCCATTCAGGCACGGATAAATGTAGCTCGCGTCTTTGTTAACCTTTTCGCGTTACCACCCCCAACGAAGGGTGGTTTGTTTCTTCGGCGTAGAATCAGGCAGACACGCCATTGTGACTTTAACTGATCGATGATCTTCGCGGGCTTCGTTATAATCTTTCAGTTATAGCTTATTGTTTTTCAACCCCTTGCTCGGGGGTTGCGAGATAAATGTTATGATGTAAGCCACTTAACAGATACCGTCGGGTTTCAAGCCTTAATTACCGATGATTCATTTTTTTTTAAACACAATAGGATATTTTTTTATTGCCCATGATAGTAAATGTAATTGGGTTAATACATTTAATACGATTAGATCAATTAGTTCGTTAACTGGTATCGAATTAAAAATCGATGCCGGTATGTTATCAAGGAAAATATATGTCGGTACATTTTTCAACTGATGATACAGAGAGGAACTGTAAACGCGGAGAACTGTTTGTAGTCGTTGTATCCTCCCTGGTTGTGTCGCATAATCAGTGGTTTCTTTATACGAGCAGCCAGGTTTCTCTCTGGTTGCTTCTAGAAATTTTGGAACAGAACGACAAGTTTGGAGAGGGACGCGATCAGACGCGATTGACACCGTTTGAAATTAAAAATGCCAGAAAGCGCAGATAATAATGTTGATACTGTAAGTAACGATTTACACAATTACTAAGATTCTTTATTGCACCACGGTTAGTTTATTTATTTATCATCTAGCAAAAATGTTCCGACGTGCCACTATTTGCTAACAGTAACAAACCACGTCACGGTTTTTGTATGACAAGAAGAAAATATGCAATGAATTTCTTAAATATAAGTATGATATCGTCATTGATACTATTTTGATTTTAGGTCAAGCCCATGCCTGTGGCCATACCTGATCATCTGTCTGATTCACCCAAGAAACCGGTCAAGTCTACAGCTGTTGTAAAATACTCTGCTGTTCAAACACCAGCAACATATGCTCAGTTGCAATGCAACACAGACTTAAATCTACCACCCAGCAACTGGCTGAGCAGCTCTGCTGAGAGTTATGGTCTGCAGAGTGTCTGGTCTCAGACCTCTGGATTCTCCAGCTTTCGCATGGCACACATGTTCCCAGACTGTGTGGGAGAGGTAGATGTTGTCTCAGATGCAGAGAATATAAAAAAGCTGCTGAAATTGCCTTACAATCATGGTGTGATATCCATGGTGGTCCACAGAATCGAGAACACTCTCTTGTTAGATGATTTTGATATTCACAAATATTTGCTTAGACAAGCTGAGAACGACTGGGAATGGTTGAAGAAGTTCTTTTATGAAAACATTTTCCAGAATCTGGGAGATAAAGAAAAATGTCTGTTTCATAAGACTAATAACAGAAACACTTTACAACAGAGGAATTTGGTATCCAAGTTTCTATATCACTCGATAGTAGTGGCTGATAATAAGGAAGAGCAGACTAAACCGGAGCTACCGGTGAAGTCACTGGAACCGTGTTTGCCAGAACCATCACAAGAGGAAAAAGTGCCGGACCCGAATTACAATCATAATTTTGCGAGAAACATTCTGTGGACTTTTGAAAACATACAGATGCTCATTGGTACTGATATGCCAATATTCGGGGGACAAACCCATCCTTGTATAAGTCTCAGATTGAGAGATATGACCAAACCCATCAACGTGCTGACTGGTATAGATTACTGGTTGGACAACTTGATGTGCAACGTACCAGAAGTGGTGATGTGTTATCATCTGGATGGAATTGTACAAAAGTATGAATTGATCAAGACGGAGGATCTTCCTAACATGGATCACTCGAAATTCAGTCCCAAAGTGATCAGGGATGTTGCTCAGAACATCTTGAGCTTCTTGAAAAATAATGCAACGAAAGCTGGACACACTTATTGGTTGTTCAAAGGAAAGGACGATGATGTAGTGAAATTATATGATTTGACATCTCTTTGCCATGAAGTGTCAGATGAAAAGGGCCAAAACCCGTTCACTGTACCTGTTGCTATGTTACTATACAGAGTAGCTCGTAACATGAAATACTCTTCCGATTACCACAGGCAACAGGGAACTATCAGAAAGTTATTAAAGAACTGTATACAATTACTGGCGAGAGAAAAGTATCCACAAATCGTAACTTCTGCACACTTTATGCTGTCTGATCTCTATATACCATCGGACACAGACCCTGCGAGTCCAAGCTTGTCCGATCAGAGCGACGAAGAAGACACTCAAAGCGATTCAAGCACAAATCACGAAAACGAGAAAGATGAGGACGAGGATGCTGAAGATGTTGCGATCAAGTCCTTAACACTAGCCAATAGTAAGTTAAGAATTTGCTTTAAATACTTTTACATTGTACTGTACTATGTGCGTTAAATATCCTTTTCTTAAGTTAAAGAACATGCAGAATGCGAAGAGCCCAAATACAAACCACCGCCAATCTCGGGTTCGATCGAAGAAAGATGTTTAGCCGCTTTAGATCACGTTTACCATGGACTGGAATGTTTGCAGTATTTTCCGACTGAAGACACATCCGAAGAAGAAGAGAAGGAAAAGGAGAGAAAGAAATTCGAGGAGGAAAATCCAAATATGGCTCAACCCTTTCAGGCAATTCCCATGCCTTATACTTCTTTGAAAGATGAGAAAAAGAGTAGTGAACCTGAAATAAATACAGTGAACAGTAGTCCTACTCATAAAAAGAAGATGAAACACAGGAGACCGAAGAAAGAGAAAGCTATCCAGAGAACAGAGCCGACCGATAGCGAAGGAAAAGCGTTGCTGTGCAAGCACAAAGCTGAGACTCTGCCCACGTGGCAGGCACCAAAGAAGAGTGATAATGTTAGTTGGAACGCGCATTTGAAGACGTTATTATACGAGAAAGCTTCGTTGATTTTTGCGGTGCTCGCCGAAAATGAATATGCAAATAAAAATTACGGTGCCTCGTTGAGATACGTGTTGTCGGTTCTACGTTGCCAGAAGATACTGGAGATCTTTTGCGGTATCAGGAATGACAAATCGATAAGCTATTTATTAGGACGCGCCGGAGACTGTTGCTTCAGGACCGTACAAGACTGGTGTAAGGTTGAGAAACACAGGAAAGATTACGAGATGAGGAACGAAATCGAGGAGAAGATAGTCGAAGAGATATGTCGAATGGAGGACTTAGATATGAGCATGTTTCCAGGTAAAGTTCAAACACGTGAGAATAAATGAAAATATTCCTGGTACAAATGTTCGATTACAAACTCTGAATTTCAGATGGTTTTGATTTACTGCCACAACGTTTAGAAAGTTTAGAATCTACTTTGGTAGCATCTTACAAGTGCTACGAAAAAGCGTTAGAGTTAGAACCATTAGAAATGGATAGGAACAATCTCTTGACGCGATTAGGGAACATTCATAATGAACTAGGCGTACTTTATATGAATCAAGCTAGAAGTAAGTATTTATCATTTGACTATTTAATATATATATATCAGAGGCTGAAACACGTGCAATTCTTATAGCACGCTATCAACAAGAAACTACAGATGATGAGACGTTCAATTCTTCGGAAGTAACAGAACTGCTAGATTGTTCGCTTAGCCATTTAGAGGCGGGCGTGAAGGCGTTCGAAACCGTGCACGACGAAGCCAATCTAGCGCTTCTATATTCGAATACAGGAAGTCTCATGCGACTTTGCGCACATATGCACATGAAGCAAAACACTCAGGAACGTAATTATTACAACAAGGCTCTTGCGAGCTATCAGAAAGCTTTGCAAGTCTTAGGATCGAGGAAGTTGAATCCAATGATTTGGGACACTATTACATGGGATTTGTCTACTACTTTGTTTACTATGGCTACACTACTGCAAGACTATCCCACTACTGGATGCAAGGTATACACTTAAGTACGTTAAGGAAACTATCTTTTGATTCTTAAATGTAATATCTATGATGATTTCAGACTGAAGAAGAGTTAGAACGAGAGGTTGTGGATATGCTACAAAAAGCTTTAAAGCATTGCGATACTGAAACACTTGGACCAAGGCAACCGCATTATCAATATCGTGCTGCGACTATTCAGCACCGACTCGCGTCCTTGTATCATCGTGTATACAGGGAATGCGAACCGGATACTGATAATATTAAAAGAAAAACAAGTTTACAATTGTCCAAGCTCTATTACGATAAAGCTGCCAAGCTCTTGTCATCTTTAGAACAGACTACGGAGTTCCTTACTGTGCAACTGGAAAGAGTTGCGTTAGCCGAGCATCAAGCACGTTGTATGTATTTTTTAAACTTTCCTTTCAATATTCTGAGTATCTTTTCTGTTATGAATTAATACTAAATTTCAGGCTCGACGACGTTTAACGGGAAATTGAAAGCATATCAAAATGGACTCGAATTAATTTTACAATGCAGACCGATTATCGATGTGTTATGCGATAAAAATAATTCGTCGAAACAAAAACTCGAGAACGCAAGTTCTGTTAGTAATAAAGTTACGAAAGAAAACCTGGAAGAAGGACGAGTTGACGAACAAAAATTAATTGAAGATGAAGAAAAATTAGTAGTGTTACTCGAACAGAGGTTGCAATTCATTTTACGATCTTTAACGAAATTATTCGTTACGAAAAACGAAAAAGGAAACAAAAAAGAGTACGTTCTGTAATATTAATGCGAAGTACATACTCTTACATATTCACTTCATCACTTTATCAATTATTAATATGTTTCAGATCAGAGACACTTGGCACTTTGTATAAACAGTGTTACAGCAAAACATTGCGACCGGTGACGATGACCGGCGTCGCATTAGCGGAACATATTGCACAACTTTTGCGAGAGCTTGGAAAAATCCTCCCGCCCATGGAATCGTGAATGGTTACCTGTATATATCCTCTGTGTATGCGTGTGCTCGATGATAAGGTGTAGGGTCTTGATGAACAAACCGATTTCTTCCTCGCGTTTTTCAAGTGTCCGATCAATGTCAATACGCAAATTCGTCAATCTCACGGAATGGTCCTCGAACATTGACGCTGGCCGTTGATCTGCGAGGCGAAATCCACAGGATGGGGCGATGTTCATTAATTCACTGAAATATCGAAAACTTCTTTTTAATTCAAGCGTGTACATAGTGAGATCGAAGCTTTTATTTATATATGATTTCTAAGCAAGAAATAAATAGCGTGTACAAGAATTTTACCTTCAATTTTATCCAATTTCCTCTAGAATTTTCGGCACGATCCACTTCCACCGTACTCCATATTGAACTGTTCTCGCGCCAATCGATTCATAGATTATCGATCTTTGAATTCGCAATTATAATTCATATTCTCGCTCAAAGGTGGCGCAGTGGTTAGTTTTGGCGCGGTTAAGAGTGCTCAGTGCGACGCAATAGTTAATTTTAATTAAATCAGTGAAAGTAATTTGTGCCGGAAAAATGAAACAGTTGTTGTTAAAGCATGTGAATTTCAATCAGCATTTGCATTCCTCAAGCTCAATTGAATTCCTACGCTCCTTTAAGATTGGATTTAAAATGGGAACGGATGACAAAGTCGAGAAACCCGGAGAGAGGTTGGTTCCTGATTCTCTTTTTCGTTCTCTTCTCTTTTTGTTTGTTTTGTCCCCCCGTCCAACAGTTTCCCACCGTCTTCTCCGGATATCCGTGACTTGACCTTTTGATTTCATCCCTCAGGCATGATGTTTTTGCCGGAGACCTTTCCTTCTCAACAATGCCGCATCGATCTCGTCTTCGATCGCCAACCGACATTTCAAGACAGCAACTTCGGTGAGTCGAAATTCAATAAACACGTCGCTTTTTAACGTAGCATGCATTAGTTTCATTGTTATGCTAATATAAAATATAAAATGTCGACAGTCGTTTTTACATTATTGTAATCAACGCGCGCGCATAAATGTAATGTAATTCAGTTTAAACAAGTCTGTGTACGATCTATGGGAGCAAAATAACGAGATTGTGCGCGAGTGGAAGTTCGCACTCGCCTTCGGTATACAATCTAAAAGATAGCCGTAGGGGGTTTTGAAAAATTTCAAAATCAACCGTCGACATACCCCACGGTTATGTCTACATTTTTCCCGTGTCCAATATCCACGCGGCTCGTATTTCCGAGCTACCGTGGCATTATTTTTTATTCAACAACCCTTACGGAATATCGCAGGTGTCGCATTTCGCGAGTCTGGCCTTCCCGCCGTTTGTCTTTTTACTTTGTTTGCCCGTTGAAACGCTCCGTGCCGTTCCTTTCTACGCGCAAACCAAACATTAATCCGCGAAGAAATTGATCGAGCAATCCACTCGCCGACGTCTTTGAACCTTTATCTCCTTAAGATCAGTAGATTCGAGAGCTTTTCGACCGCCTCGAAGTCGACAGATCTATTCGAAGTTCTTCGTCGAGTGGAAAGTTTCCATTCGGGGAAATGGTTAAAGGTAGCGTGCGATTGTTTCAAACTTTGAACCGAGGACACTTCATTCGCGATCAAGCAAAGATGGAATGAAAACCGAAAAATGTAGGAGGAGGAGATCTTCGTTTTTTCTCGAGGAGCGTCGGGCGAGTAAACAAAAAGGGATTCGGATTTAATAAACCGTGAAGGATAGGCCGCGGAGCCAACGAAATTCCGCAAAAAAAGGAAAGAAAGCGAAAGAGGTTCTCCACGGATTTAACCGCGAAGATACGCAGCCTCTTGCAAACTACGCAATAAACGAAATTGCGAAGTTGAGTAGCCGCTTTGAAAGGTCGCCGGGGTAGAGAGGTCCGGGGTATTATTTTCTCTGGTCGCCGTGCGCCGTTTCGAACCCCCGTGCGCTCACGTACCGACACAGAGAGAATTAAGGAGCACACATTTACACAGGAAGGAACGGGAGTAAGAAGGAAACTGGTAACAGGAAAAAGAAGGAGAAAGTCTTCCCTTGCGTTCTCCCATCGACGGAGTTTCTACGACTTTGAAACAATTGAATTCCAAGACGTCTCGAGAACGAGAGAGGGGTCGAGAGAGGAGCCCGCCATTACGCGAATTACATAATGAATCCGTCAGACGTGAAAGAAAAGGAAAAAATGCCGGTTGACAGTCTAGGCTCGTCCGAACGGCTGTTCCCTCCCCGTCTTTTCTTTGCGGTCGCCGATGGAATTTCGGCTCGGACAAAGAAGGAATTCTGCGCGAGAGAAGAGATGCCTCTCTGTCTTTTCGCGTGTCTTCGGTCCCTTCGAATTCAAGTCGCGTTCCTATCTCTCCTCGAGAGCCTCTTATCTGGTTATATCAATTAGAGTCGGTGTCTCTCTGTCCTCGCCGCGTTTGCATTCTTCTCGTTCCCGAACCACGAACGCGTTCCTTGCCCGGGGTGGACGATTCGGTTTCGCTATTGACACTTCCAGTTGATCGGTCTCTTATAGACCCAGACGGAAGCTCCTTTCATAATCTGCTCGATGGCTTTCGTTATTGAAATCTTCAGATATATTGGAATTTTTAAGTTCGAACGAGCAATTATTTATGTCGAGAAATTTGCTGGCAAATTGGGACGAGTTCCGTTAGAAGCGTCGTCGATGCTTGCAGAGCTAACGACATCCGTGTGTTTCGAGTATCATAAATAATAAAGGTGCACATTCCTGTTCGCGAGTATCCGACATGTTCAGGAGGACCGATAATAAATTGCCGTGGATGCAAACACTGGCATGAATTATATTTGCTCGCCGGAGTTATCCCGTGACCGTCGATAATCAGCATCGGGTGACCGAACGACTGCCAGATCTCACCAATTCGATTATTCAAATAAAATGCACAACCGTTATTGTAGTTATAATTGTAACGATAGCTACGTATCAGAATTTCCAGTCCGGCAAAGAGAATATAAGATTTGTATAACTCCGACAGATTGAGATCACTCGATTCGTTTACTAAAAACATGGTCAATGTGTAATATCGTGGACGAGGACCGAGACGTTGATTTACAATGTAGAATTAGGGACCCTTGTCCTGCTTTTAGTTATCGAGTCAGCTAGATTCCGATTTATGTCGGAGAACACGAAAGTCTGTGTATTTAAGGAAGGGACCGTCGCGTCGTCGTATTTTATCGCGGCGGAACGTGATTCGTGAAAGGCGGGGTGGCTCAGAGAGTTAGGGTAGAGACAACGTACTATTACATCGCTAAATAAACTCTTCTTGATCACTGGAAGAAGCTTTGCGTCGCTCCTTTTCATTAGAAAACGATCTTACCGTCTTTTCCACTTCGGTTATCGGCACGGAAAATCGATCGATACCAGGAACGACGATAAACGAGAAAAAACTTGTAATTATAAATCCAGACTGAATCGGAAATAAGTAGCTCAGACAATTCTTACGTAAGTTCTTTTATAATCGCTGAAACAAGTTTTATCCTGCTTCTTTCAATTAGGAAATCTCGCTATTTTTATCTTTCCAGTCTGTTTATTCGCGAATCAATCACGAATTCGGATGAGCTCGGAATTATAAATCGAGGGTAAATCGGAAACGAAAATTCAGGAAATTAATTAATATAAATCGATTACCGATACACGTCGGCCTGGCGATCGGAAAATACGGGAAAGACTGCATCCCTGCGGAGGTTTCTCTGGGTCGAAACCATTACCGAGGCCGTCAGGACGCGGGCAACAAATTCTAATTCGGCCGGAGCCCCGGAGAAACTCGAATTAATTAATAACCGGAACGAGGCCGTATCGTTGCCTTTTCGTTCCTCGCTATTTCTCAGCCTGCCCACGTACATCTCTCTCAGGAATGTTTCCGAATTTTTCTCACCGAGAAATGATGTATAAATAATATAACGAGTACGAGTTGTAGAGAAATGAAAATTGTAGAGAAATCGTATATAGAAATCAAATATGAAATATTACGTCGCAACGATTTCCGATTGCTTTGACGGAAATCACATGACAAGACAAGATCTGTGGTTGCTCGATGGTGACTGTCGCAATTGTCGCGGGGAACACGAATCTCTTTTTTCCGTTGCTCCGGGTGGCGGCAATTATTTCTCGTTTAGCGCGTTTACCCGTATATCAGATCGACGAGTGCGGGCGACTGGATATACCGACGGTCACGTACAGACGTGCCCCGGCAATATCGCCGACCAGGATCTTTATTCTTTCTTATTACTTAATATCCCGGTAACGAGGATAAATGTGCCGGCCCTGGCCCTGCTAATTGCCGCGATACCGCACACTCTCTCTACTCATCAATCTATCTGTGCCTGCCTCCGTAGAACTTCCCTGTGATAACACCGAAATATACATTCTGTCGACTGTTATCCTTCGTTTCTTTCAGGATGTTTTTCTTGTTCTTCGAGCATCGACAAATATCGTTTATGTACGAAAGGAACGGACAGTCGTGATTGCTATTCCTGTGCTCAAAAAGTTCAGATTGAACGTTTTTTGACGTTTTTAGCTAATATCAAAGTATTGTGCTAGTAGCACTCGTGTGAATTAACTGAACGGTTTATCAGTTCATATCCGGAAACTGGAGCTCGTATTTCCTCTCTGGCTGTTGACGGCGCGTCGAAGTTTCGATCCGTATCGCTTGTCAATCGCCAAAACGTTTCCACGTAATCGAAACTCTCCGAACGCGTTGGCGTCGATTGATCGACGGAATTTCAACGAGGATCGACGATTTCTTCGACGTCGCGACGCAAAAATGATTCCCGGGATTTCGACTGAACGAACAATCGGGACAAGATAGGCGGGTTCCGGTTTCCGGGACGATTCGCGATCGTGGCGGGAAAACACGGGTCGCGAACTGGTCGGTTGCGGTTACCAGCCATTCGTACAACGTCCCCCGAATGAGAGAGAGGCCGCCTAACTAAATTATTCCGCCAGGTTGACGGTCAAACGCATTTACATTCGGCCAGCCGTGAACACCGGACTCCGCGCTAAATGCTTTATAATTATTAAACTTATGGGGTGCTAAATAAGAGCCAACAACCAATTCCAATCGAGGAAATAACGTTTGCTTTAACATTAAATATTCTTGATACCGAGCATTATGGTTCTATTCGCGTGACAAATGTTCCGCTAGTTTTAGTCGATTCATGTAGCTGTCGCGATCTTGTATAACAACAATTCAGATACATAATTTCGTACCCCTTATGGTTTCACTGTGTCTTTATTAAAAATCCAATTTCTGCAGTAATTACACGGTGCTCCACAGCTCACGTCTCAT